CCCCGCCGCTGTTCCCTGAGCTCCGGGTCTCTCCTTCCCGACGCCCGTGTGCCCATCCTGACCATGGCGCCTTCCAGTGTCTCCTGCCTCCGTGTCCGCTCGTCCCTGGCCGTGGGTGGCCCCACAGTGTGGGACCTGTGGAGCACGGGCCGTGGCAGTGGGGATGGTCACGGCTCTGGGGGACWACTCATGGCTGTAGCGACAGGCCGTGGCTGTGGGAGATGGGTGATGGCTCAGGGGCCAGGGAAGGGCCGTGGCTGTGACGGGCAGACCGTGGCTCTAGCAGTGGGGACAGTCCCTGGGCTGGGGACAGCCCGTGGCCATGGGGATGGGCCGTGGAGGCGCGGGATGGATCGTGGTGGTTGGGGACGGCTCAAGGTTATGGGGCTGGGACAGGCCGTGGAGCATGGGGGACTAGGGGGCCGGGACAGCAGCAAGCTGTGGGGATGATGGTGGCAGTGGGTCCCTGGGGGGGCGGGAAGGGTCACCATGGGGCTGGGGGATGGCCACGGGCTCTGCCCGGCCCCTCTGTGGCGGCCCATGGTGTCTTGGCACCGAGAGCCGCYGGCCGGTGTCCTGCTCGGCCCAGGTCTGCGTGGGACCATCCGTCCCCTGCGGCTGCAGGGCCGCCCCGCGCCCGCCACGGGCGGCAGTGTCTGCTGAGCGGTGCCGGGCCCGGCTCTCCATCAAGGCCCTGCATGTGCTGGATTTCCAGCTTTCTGTTTGTTTTCAGTCCAAGGGTGACCTGGTGGGCTTGGCAGCGCTGGGAGCACCCAGTGCTGCCAGAGCTCTCGGGAACAGGCGAGGGGGGTGAAGTCCTCTTGCCCTCTTGCAGCAGCAAACCCAGCAAGACCGTTTCCTCGGAGCAGACGCTCTGGTTTTGGCCATCCTGAGCACGGGGCCGCGGGCAGCACGGAGCAGGACGGAGCTGCCACGCTACGAGTGCTCTGCACAGAGCCAAGGTCGCTGCCCCTGGAGGAGCAGGGCTGGATCTGCGGCAGGACCCGCCGACCCTGCAGCTYCCCACCCACAACCACAGCAGCCTGCCCGGGAATGACCTGGCAGAGCCAAGGCTGTTCCTTGGGCACGAGCGGAGCAAAGCTCCTGCCCCTCTCCAGCGCGGCCACCTTTCTCCTAGCTACAGACCTGCTGTGGGGAGGGCGCTCGCACAGGACGCCGCAGTCACCAGGGACGGAGCCAAGCGCAGGGACACGGGTTGTCACGGCCAGAACGCTGCCCAGGTCCCAGTGCCAGAGCCGCCTTCCCCACACTGAGCACCCACGACACGACACGGGCGCGGACACCRGCATGGGATGCTCCATGCCCGCGCCCAGCGGCTCCCGCGGGGAACGGCGCCGAGCTGCCGCCTCGTGCACCTCCAAGAACCACCCCAGAGCCAGCACAGCTGCGCTCAAGTCTTTATTTAAAAATCGAAAACACACAACATATTATACAAGGAAAAAAAAAGAAACCAAAGGAACAACCTGCCTTGGAAAGCAGCCTGCACATGCCCCTCCGCGAGGGTTAGGCAGATGCCGGCTCCGAGCGGCCTGGTGCTGCGGGAGCTGCTGGCGCCCGGGGCCCTCGCCCCGACACTGCGCAGAGTTACAAAAGGAGGAGCAGGAGGAGCCGCCCGGGTGCGCGCGGGGCCAGCGCCTCCCTCCTGCAGCCGGCCCCCTCGGACACAGCCTGAGGTAGTTGGGGGTCACCTGCGCAGGCCAGAGCCCACGAACAGGCGGCCGAGGGTTTCCAGGACCACCCAAGCGCCCCCGTGTCCTGTAGCAACGGCGTTGGTCATATTGCTTTGGGAGACGCCGGAGCGGCCGCGGCTCTGGAGCCCTTGCGGTCAGGGCGCGTGTACACGGCGGGCGACACGGGGGCCTGGGCGCTGCAAGGCCAGGGCAGGAGCCCTGTGTGGCGTCAGGAGGCGGCCTCGGGTCCTGCTGGGCTGCAGAGGGGCAGGAGCGGCTGCGGCGGCAGCAGGGCCGGTCCGGGGTGCACGTAGTGCCGGTGCCGGCTCCCTCCACCGGTGGCCACGGTGGAGGCTGGCCCGGCCGGCAGGGGCCTCCRGGCAGGTGGCACTTGGGCGGCTGCAGCCGCTGCCCTGGGCCCGGCACCCCYGGGCACTGAGGCTCCCGGGTGCCTCCAGGGAGGCCGCTCGGGCTCGGAGAGATCGCACCACCCGCTGCCCTCGTGTCCAAAGGGAGAAGGGCCAAATGCCAGGTGCTCGGCACCTGCTTGGGATCTGCTCCTGCTGCCTCGAGCCCCGGCACTGGCAGCTTTCCAGAGGCAGCAGCACCGGGAAGGGGCCGCCTGGGCGCCGGGCGCTGGACATGGGGCCCTGCCCGAGTGTCTCGGCGCCGGCAGGATGGGGGCCGCCTGGGGCAGGAACAGCGTTGAGCGCGTCCCACACCACTGACCCCTGTGCAGGACCAAGGCCACCCTGCAGCGGGACGAGCCGGGGCGCGGGAGCTGGCAGACACCTCGGCGCCTGGCGTCCCCTGCTCCAAGGCACAAATGTTCCCCTGCCCGGGCTCTACCTGCGGCACCTGCGCCGGGAGCTGCGCGCAGTGTCCGGGCGCTGGGGACGCCCGCGTTGCTGCTGCCCTGCACAGCCAGTGGCCGTGGGGACACCGGGGCCCCGCGTCCCCCGTGCTGCTGCCCCGCGGCCCTTCCCTGCCGCAGCTAACACTCGCGCCGCGGCTCCAGCGTGAGCCGAGCACCTTGTAGAGTGGTTTATTGCTGGCATTAACACAGTGATCTGTTGGCGCCAGCCAGCACAGCACGACGCATCTCGAGGACGCCCAGGCCACGCTCCGGGCCAGCTGGCCCCGCTCCTCTGCTCCAAGCACTGCTCCCGGGAGGGCACTTTTGGGACAAGGGGTCAGGACCTCAGCACAGCCCTTCTGCTGCTGCCAGCCCACGTCCCTGCTCCTGGCTGGCTGCTCCAGCACGGCCACAGCCTCCCGGTGCTCGGAGTCATGGGTGGGCCAGCTAATGTGGACTGGTCCTGGCCACCGGGTGGGCCTGCAGGCTCTGCAGGCACTGGCCTGACAGGAGGCTGTGGTTCCTGCTAGGTTTAGCACCCCAGGCTGCCACGGATCACGTGCCAGGTGGGAAGGGGCTCCGGAGCCGCGGCCACGCAGCACTCGGGCTCTCAGAGCCGCCAAAGGCACGCGCGGTGCCCCGCCGGGCGCTCCCTGCCGCCCGGGGGCTGCCGAGGGCCGGGGGGCCTAGCACCAAGCCCGGGGCGGCCCAGCAGCACCAGGAGAGCCGGGCGCTGGCCCCAGGGCGGCCCAGCAGCACCAGGAGAGCCGGGTGCTGCCCCTGCTGCCTCCCGCCGCCGCCGGCCCCTTGGCCGCGCCGGGCTCCTGGCGGGTATTCGCGCTGAGCCAGGGACATGTTAAGGCTGGAGAAGCGGCGAGAGGCGAAGGAAGCCCTAATGCTCTCAAGGCAGCCGGACCTGGGCCAGACAGTTCAGAGAAATCTGTGCAAAAAAAGGAAACTAAAGGGCTAGAGAGCACCCCAGAGACCCCCCCTAAGCAGCTCTAATAAATACAGGTGCAGTTTGCAGCTGGCGTGAGGCAGGGTGGCTGGGGAGCCCTGCTGCTGACTCGGGGGCCTCTGCCAGTGGCGCCGCGGCTCTTGGTGCCGCGGCGCCGGAGGCGGCTCTCGGGGATGCGGGGACATGTGCTTCGGGGCGGATTTTGCACCAGTTTGCTGGGAATCTTCGGAAAAGGCTGCTCCAAGCTGGGTCCCAGTCAACCAAAGGGGCATCTGCAGACGGCTGCTTCGGGCGCAGGGGCTACTCTGCATCTGGAGAGAGGAGATGGTGAGCGGGTGCGGAGCAGTACAGCCCCTCGGGGGTCCCGCTGCCTCCCCTGGGATCCCCCAGATTTGCAGTGACATCAAGGGCAGCAGAGCCTGGGCCGTGTGTGGGAGACTGGAGTCACTGCAGCCCTGGCATTGAGACCCCCACGTACAGGAGGAGCCAGAGGAGCATGAGGCTCCCAGGAGAGCCATGACTCGGGTTTTTAACAGCTGTCCATGGGCTCCTGGACTCGCCAGGGGCCCCACAGGGCTTTGGCCACATGTGCTGCCTATTCCGAGGCTCCTAGACCTGCGCCCGTGAGATCTGCTCCTGCTAAGAGCCTGCCTTCACTCGCTGCACAGGCCTTGGCAGAGGCACCAGTGCAAGACTCACTCCTCCCTGAGCAGCCTCCCAGGAGGAGCAGGATGGACAGGGAAAGGTGGATGCAGCCCTTGGTGCGGCTGATGCCAGGGTGCCCAGCGCGGCACGCGGGGCAGGCTCCCCACGGTGCCCACRGACACCTACCGTCCTCGTCCCAGCCCTCCGCCACTCCCGCCAGCTCGTAGTGCTTCTTGCGGAGCTCCCCCAGCTTCTGCCGCTCCTTCTGCAGCTGATTCTCCAGCTCCAGCACACGCACCTGGAGCACAGAGCACACTCTGCTGCTGCCCGGCCGTGTGCCGGTGCAGGGGGCACTGCCAGCGATGCAGCGCCCCACGCACCCCGCATGCCCCGCGCACCCCGTGCGCTCCCGCTGCAACCCGGCCCTCCCGCGTCCGCTCCGCCTGTGCCCAGGCACGTGCCAGGCTGAGCACTTTCTTCTCACACCTGCAGCCTTCCTCATATGAAACGCAAAGTTTCCCCTCAATGCCCAACCAATTAATGCTCTAATGGCAGATGGTGCTGGAGAAAGGATGAATAGAAATGCATACGGCCAAGTGCTGTCCGAGCAGGAAGGGGAGGGAAACGCATGGAGATCCTGCAAGGAAGGGGCAAGAAAGGGGCTGCCTGGAGCTACATGGAGGCAGCAGGACAGGGAAGAGGCAGAGGGAGCTCAGAAGTGAGYTGGGCTACTGCACTATGAAGGGAAGGGCGACAATGTCAGGCCTCAGCCCCCGTGTTATGTCTCACTGCCACAGTCTGTCTGGGGAGTCCCTCAATATCCCGAAACAACAGGCGCTGGATAACCAAAAGCAAAGGGAACCCCCCTACCTGAGAGTCCATTTCTTGACGCTTGATCTGGGTTAGTGTCATGCTGGAGAAGTCCATAGTGTCTGCAGGGAAAGAGACATTCCCTCCCCATGAGGCTGGCTCCCCAGCTCGGTGTTCCCACCCTGGCTCCCAGGCACCRGCAGAGTTCACAACCAGTGGGAACCCGGGGCAGAGAGGGGCAGCCAGTGCCCAAAACCGCGTGGCCATGGCCAGGCAGCCAGAGCACAGCGAGCAGGGATCTTTGCACTGGTCTGTGCTCTGGGAGGGGGCTCGTRGCCCTCGCTTACCTTTCTCCTCGATTTGTGACTTCCCTGACTTGGTGGAGGCCACCACGGCGGCTGTGGCCTGGTTGACACCCCGAGAGGCCTGCTGCAGCTTGGACAGGTTGGTGCTGTCTTTGTCTGCCTTTACCTGCCAGGGCACACAGCGGGGGATGTGTTTGCAATCCGGTGGTACAACAGCAAGGGAGAGGACCTGCTAGCAGCTCTGCAGCACCTCCGCATCGCCCTGCTCCTGGCCAGCCCTATTGGGAGCCCCCAAACTACTGTCAGGAGCAGGGTGCTACAGAATGACTGAGCATGGAAGAGACCTCTGGAGAGACCCTACCACAGGGTTAGATGGGCGAGCAGAGAGATCCAGCGATCAGAACATTCACCCGTGGCTCAGGAGAGCGGGCTTAGCCTCCTCCAAAGCAAATGCTTTGTTTCTTGGGAGCATTGGAAACCAGAAAWCTGCACTACCATTTTTCACAGAATCAGAGAGCACTTGAGGTTGGAAGGGACCTCTGCAGCTCACCCAGTCCAGCCCTGCTCAAGCAGGGACACCCGGGGCACAAGGCAYGGGACCGTGTCCAGGTGGGTTCGGAAGGTCTCCAGAGCAGACTCCACAACCGCTCTGGCCACCTGCTCCAGGTCTGTCCCCTTCATGCTCAAGAAGTTTCTCTTTGATGTTTCCYGTGTCCCAGAGCGCGGCCGCGGCCTCGTGCCCTGTGGCCAAGGGCCCGTCCCCCTCCCGCCGCCTCCCTGGGGCGCCCGACGAGGCCCCTGCGAGCGGCCCCTCTGCGGCGGGGCAGGCCCGGCGCCCGCGGCCTCTCCTCGCAGCGGCGCCGCGGCCGCCCGCAGCCCCGCGCCGGGCTCGGCCCGGGGGCAGGGTCCATGGCCTCCATGGACCCTCCTGGCCACCAAGGCACAGTGGTGACTCACAGGCACCTTGCTAGGCCCACAGGCGCCAGGTCCTTCTGCTCTCCAGCAGATCCACCCCTGACCAAGGTGTGTTCCTGCAGGCAGTGCTCGCACATGGAAGGACCGCCTGCTCCCYGCTTGAGGCTGCAGCTGCTGCATGTTCGGAGCCAAGCCACAGCAGCACCGTGGCCTGCAGGACCGGGGAGCAGCCTCTGCTGCAGCACTGCGCTCAGCTGCGTCTCCCCAGGAAGCGGCTGTGGAGCTGGCAGTGCTCGAGGGAGCAGCTAAACCATTGAACAGCCGGGCCCAGGCCCAGCTGGCAGCGGGGGTGACCTCTTGGGGTGCATTTGCATCGGGCACCATGCAGGGCTCCTACCTTGGAGGCTGCCACCAGTTGTGCTGTGCTGGCTGCAATCTCGTGGGAACAAACCATGAGCTCCTCAAACTTCCCTTTCCCTTGTACCACCAGATCAGCAGCATCRCTGTAGAAGTCAGAGAGAGAGGCTGGGACCCACTTCGAGCAGGTTCCGCCCAGCCCCGGGCCCCTGGTTCTTGCCAGGTGCTGCCTGTTTCTTGCCCCTTCTCTGCCTGCTGAGACCTCCCTTTGGGTACAGCAGGACTCTGACCCCYCCACCAGTCACACTGACACTTACACCATGACAGTTGCTCCCCAACCCACGGCCTTGGACGCTGAGATGAGACCCTCTGTCCAGCGGGAATTCTTGGCATAAAACTCCTTGGGGGACGCTGCGCCCTGGAAAGTGGCAGAGCAGAATGAAACGCGTTCACATGCTGGAGGAAGGGGGACTGGCACCAGACTGTCCACACCCCAGACCTGTGYCAGCTGGGGCAACAGGGCCTGGGTGCCTGGGCCTCCCCAAACCTCTGTCCTTAGGCAAACAGAGCACTTTGGTAGGGAGTTCAGGGTGTCTGGGGCAAGCTGGGTAGACGCCCAAATCTTGGACGTCATGGGCTCCCCTGAGCAGTGTGAAGGGCCGTAGGGAGGGTGCTCAGACCCTTCAGGGCATGCAACAAGGCTCAACCAGCTCCGCAACAAGCCAGGTGCTGCCACAGAAGAGACCCTCGGGGCCCCAAAGCAGYGGGACCATGGGGCCCTGCACCTCCGACGGGGATGTTGAGCTCAGCTGGGCTCCCTGGCACTCGGATTCCGGCACGGGGCTCGCTTCCCTGCCCTGCTCACCCGCCCGCTCTCCACGATCTCTCGCTGCAGGTCCTTGGAGGTCAGAACCAGCACTTGGATGGCCTGCATGAGATCTGTGCAGGACCCCAGGATCCTGCAAAACAAAATTCATTGGGGAACAAGGAAGCCCACGCGTGTGCAAAATCCCACATTCCATGCATGGTCTGGAYGCAAGCAAGAGGATCCCAACACCTTGGGTCAATGCTTTCCCAGTCAGCGCCAAGGGCAGTAGGTCCAGCTCTCTGGGAGTCCTGGATGACTTGGTACCCACGGTCACTTCTTCAAACCCCAAATCCTTCCTCCTCCCCTCTCAGTGTCTACCTATAAAGCATGCCTTAAAACTAGGACCTACGGGGTCCTGGCCAGCACTCACCTCTCATTCACTTCCAGTTTGACACCAGTGTCACCAGCCCGGGCTTTGCTCAGCATCTCCTAACAGAGGGGGGAAAGCCACACTGCATCAGAGAGGGAATTGCATTGGAGAAGGTGCACGGCCCCGCACGTGGCGGTCCGCTCGGCCCGTGGTGCYGTTCAGGTTCTGGGCTTCCCCCTGGCAGCAGTGCTCGCTGTCAGCTCACCTCAATCCTGGCGGCTGCTGTCTCGATGGCTGCCGAAGTAGCTGCCATCTCCTTGTCCACCAGATCGCCCAGCTCCTCCTGCTTGACATCCAGCCCCTTGGGCCGCAGCGCCTGCAGCCGGGACACAGGGGAGTGTCCGGAGGCGGCAGAGCACCGGCACAGCCGCCTCCACCCCCAGTATCCTCATCTTCTTTCCCCCTTGCCCTGCCAGGAAGCCCATGAGGCCTCCAGCACCCATGGTGGGGCGATCCCTGTCAGCAYGGGGCAGCTCTGCACACCCAGCTCCCCTATAGCGCTGCACCCACCTCCCCCATGGTGCTGCACCCACCTCTCCCATGGCACGGACCCACCTCCCCTATTTGCACTGCACCCAGCTCCCTGGAGGYGCTGCACCCACCTCCGCGATGGTGCGGACGTGGCTCAGGCAGTTCCTCACGGGTGTGCAGTCGGCGCCCTCCAACGCGGTCGGCTCCCCCAGGGCGTGCAGGTAGCTGATGGCCTCGCTCCCGCACTGCCTGCAGGCCTCCAGCAGACCTGGCCGAGCACGGCAGAGGCTGAGCGAGCCCCGCGCGGGGCAGCAGCAACGGGCACCGTGCCYGCCCCGCCGCACTCACGGTCAGCGGGCTCCATGGGGGCCATGTGGGAGGTAGCGCTGCCCTGCAGGATGGTGTCGCTGACGAGGTGGGCGAAGAGGGCCACGCATGGCAGGAGGCTGCTCATGTCTGCGGGCAGGACAGGAGGCACACGGCTCAGTTAAAGCAAATACTGCCCGTCATCCCCGCTCGTTGCTCCTGAACCTCTTTGGCACGTGCCAGGGCTCTGTGCAGAGCCCCACGGCCTCGCAGCCCAGCCTACCGGAGCGGCCCCTTCCTTGCCCGAGCTGGGGCTGCCCAGCTCTCACCTGTGCGGTCAGAAAGGTATCTGCTGTGGGCATCCTGGAGCCTTTCCACGCACTCGGAGGCTGCCAGCGTCCTGGACAGGAGGTAATCTGCAGGCACACAAGAGACGGCACTCCAAGCATCCATCTCCGTGCATCCTCGTGCACCAGCCGGCCGGATGTCGTAGGAAATCAGGCCTCACCTGCCGAGCTGGTGCAGCTGATGTGAGTAGGGTCTTCAAGGCGGCTGAGGGAGTCCTGCACCATCTGCTCTGCCTCCCGCGCGGTGCCCTGCAGTAGGGCAAACTGATCCCTGCTGAGACGCAGSTGGAGGGCCTGTTCCACGTCCTCCTGCAGAGCCAGCGCGGGGATCAGGGCCCTTGCTGCCCTGTCTGGTTAGCACATCCCCTCCTACCCCGYTGCCGCCTCCAGCTCTCACTGATTGCCAAAGGCCCCGTGCTCCCAGCGTGCAGGAAGGCTCTGCACTGCTCTGCTACAGCCCCAGCTCATGCCATGGGGCACAGCTCCTTGCCCAGCTCCTSTTGGCACGGCCGGAGCAGGAGCAGCTACCAGGATGCCGAGCAGTGCCAGCACACCCCRGTGCTGGTGCTCACCACGATGGGGTACCTTGGCTTTCAGCTGCATCTGCAGCGTCTCCAGCGCTTTGCTGCTGCTCTCCTTCTCCGTGCTGAGTGTGTCCCGCAGCTGCTGAAGCTCGGCCCGCAGCGCTGCCGTCTCCTCACCGTGCTGCTCCGCCGCCTGGCTCAGGCTGTCCCTCTCCCGCTCCAGGCTYGCTATCCTGGTGCTCTGCTCTGTTCCCAACTGGAAGGATGCACAACAGGTATCAGAGCTTTGCTGAGGGCATGACAGGGAAGAGACAACCCCCTGTATTTGGGGAACCATTCATGCTCAAGACCCAGTCCACCCGCAGTGCCCTGCTTGGTGTGTCGCAGCCCTACATCCAGCATGTTGAGCTGCAGCCTTGCAGGACCTGATGGGCTTGTGTGGGACCAGCCGAGGCTCCTGCACCTGCCACTTTGCTTTTACCGGCTGATGGCTGTTGTCCCCCTGGTATGTGAGTGCAGCTGGTGTGGACAGGGGGTGCAGGGAGCCTGCTCTGCCCTGAGCGTGTCCTGCTGCAGCCTCTGCCCTGGGGACGGGCAGCTCCTGCCAGCTCCTCACGCACCAGCCTCTACAACGAGCCTGGAAAGAGCCCTGCAGTCCTGCCCAGAGAAGGACCACGTCCTCAGGGGCTTCACAGACCCTCTGCCACGGCTATAAAGAGACTTGTAATGTGAGGTACACGCTGCCCGCTGGTTTTACAGCAGGGCAGAGCCACCCTGTCTGACTCCTACCTTTCACCACCAGGGTTGTAATTCAGTGATTCCGGCCTTGCTCAAATGAGAGCAAATCTTTTGGCCTTTCTATCAGGCAGGGCACTTTTACAGCACTGACATGGTGGTGGTAATCGCCTGCTTTCTGCATAGCCCTCGGCCTGGGCCTCTGGGCAGGGCTGGATGCCCTGAGCCCAGCGGGGARGAACTGGCGAGCGCCAAGGTGGTCAGAACAGGCTGTGGTGCCAGGAGGGCTGCGGAGGCAGTGAGGCCGTGGCAAGATGATGGGCTCAGCACCAGGGGGAAAAGGCAGCCCTAGGGGCACAGAGGAAGCRTCCTCACCTGCGTGCTGGACTCCAGCGTGCCCTGAAGGACCTGCAGCTCCTGCTTGCTGGCTGCCAGCTCCCGCTGCAATGTTTCCAGGACTTCGGTCTGCTCCTGGGACTGCAGGCGGAACAAAGCGGTCCTCAGCTTGCACCCTGCATGGCTGTTGTCCCTGGCTTCTAGTTGAGCGTCCTCCTAAGCACGACTGTCCCTTGTCCTGCGGTTCCCCAGTCCTCTGCCCTCSAACCCTGTCCCCTGTCCCCATTGTGTGCCCCATCCCGGCACTGTGTGGCACCTCTGCACTCTGCTCTGGGCTCCAACTCACCTTCCTCTGGGCCTGCTCGCTCACCCTCTGGAAGGAGTCCTCCAGCTCCTTCTTCTCCCGCTCCACGTCGCCTTGGGCCTGTCTTGCCACTGTCACCTGCTTGGTGACCTCCGCATTCTGGGGACAGAGCGTGGGAGAGCTCAGCAGCTGCCCTACCCGTCCTGCCCTGGCCAACCCCAGCCTCCCGCCGTCACCCCGTGGCAGGAGGCCTCGGTGGCCCCGCGCTGCCGGGCTGGGGAGCAGCCTACCTTCCGCAGCAGGTCCGCGTGGTTCTGCACCAGCTCGCTGTACTTCTCCTTCAGCTTGGAGTAACGCTGCTCATTGGCCTGCGCCTTCCCTGCCACAGGGAAAGACGCAGCAAGGTGAGTGCCCCGCGGCAGGGTCCCCAGCCTGGGCCCTGTCCCCTTGCTGGGCCCTCTCCTCACTTTCGATCTCCGTGAGGCTCCGCTGGGCTTTCTCCGTGTCCTCCCGCCGCTTCTTGAGCTCCTCCAGCTCGGCGCGCAGGAACTCGCTCTCGTCCAGGGCCTGCTGCTTGAGGTGCCGCTGCTCGGCCAGCTCGGCCTCCAGCTCGCTGATGCGCCCGCGCAGCTGCAGCGCCCGCCGCTCGCTCTGCAGGGACGGCACGTTGGGCACGGGGCAGTGTGGGCGCGCGGACAGCGCCGAGCACCTCGGCTGCATCAGCCACGGCGGGGTAAGCAAGTCCCGGGACTCGTTCTTCCACGGCTGCTGCAGCCCAACCGCGGCTGCTTGCTGTGGCCAGGGGTGCCCGTGACCGGGGCCGTGGGGTAGCCGTGGCCCAGCACACTCACAGACCCCTGGCACCTGCAGGGATCACTCCCCAGGACGCAAACCMGGAGCAGCAACAGGCAGGACAGCCCCACAGATGTGCTCATGGCCTGCGACAGCACTCGCAGAGTAACAGCAACCCCCAGGGCAATTCGGACACTGTCAGTGCCCGAGTGTCCGTGAGCGCACGCGGGCCCCGTCCTCAGCGGGAGCTCCCACGCCCCGGCCTGCCCCGCGTCTCTGSGCTCCGAGAGCGCCGCGCCAGCCGAGCTAACCCAGCCGGGTGCGGATCAGCTCACCTCGGCCTTGAAGTTTTCCAGTTCCTCCTTCAGCGCAGCGATCTCCCTGTAAAGCTGCTCGATCATCCGGTCCCTGGGAAGGAGAGAGACCCAGATGCCTTCTCCGTGCTCCCGACCAGCAGCACGGAGGTGTGGAGATGAAGAGAGAGTAACAGTTCAGTGTCACCACATCTGCTGGGTGACAGCAGAGCCTGTTCCCCAGAGAAGACTGGTTTTGGGACATGAACTGGAAACTATCGGGATCCTTCCAAGCTCTTCGCACACAAAAAGCTTATCTTAGAAGGGGGACAGAAACATGACAGAGGTGCATGAATAATGCAGAGCTCTGACAGAAAACCAAGTGCTTTGGACCCTTCGGCTCATAACAGAAGAGCAAGAGACATATGGAGATCCTGCGATTGGTTTGGATCTGGCCACAAGGTCTCTAATGTGGCCGATGGTGCCTGCCAGCATGGTGGGCAGGTGTCTTGGGAGAGGAGATCTCTTCTTTGCCACGAGGGCTGGGAGCATCAGGGCTCCCGACCTGCTCCGGCCCATTTCTAGCATCCATGGTATTGTGGAGCCACAAGCTYGGGCTCGCGGCTCAAAGGTGCTCTCCAAAATGGACTCCAGATAAACTGTCCCCTGGGAAGGAGACCCAGGCCTTGGTGTGCAGAACAGTGCCCAGGCATGATGCCCTGTAGGGAGAGGAGAAGCCCCAGAGACCCACAGGGAGAACTCACTTGTCATCCTTGTTCATCCCGTTTTGACTGTTGAAGTTGAAAGGATCGTTACTGAAAGAACTGCCAAAGATGTCATCAAACTTGTTGTCAAACAGACTCTGAGGGCAGAGAAATGCAGAGGCAGCGAGTGAACCCAAACCTGCTGGAGGCAGCGCAAGGAGGGGCGCAGGGAGCCCCGGCCTTCCCAGCTGGGCCACAAGCCCTCAGCAGGTGCTGAGCCCCATGTGCCCACCCTGGCACTGCCCAGCCCTAGTTACACTGCGGCTGCCRCCAAGGCTGCAGCCTCCCCATGTCACCCGGACACCCGCGACACCTGCTACGGGACTGAAATTCCCCACGGCACAAACCCAGAGCCAGTGTTGAACGTGGGACATCCATGGTCTGCTCCCAACCAACTCCTGGGGAGGSAGATGCCCTGTGCCATTGTGCTGCACAGCAGCTTCCCTCTCCACAGCCTTGCTGAGGCTTGGGAGGATCCTTTGCCCCGGCCTCACCCTTGGGAGGAAAACTCAGCACAGGCCTGTAGAGCCTGGGGCAACTTGGGAAAGGGAAACCTTTATCAACAGCCATCGCTGGAGGGCACCAAACTGTTAAGAGAAGCACCATGGTCTCACTTCAGCCTCCCCAGATTGAGCAGTGCCCACCTCCTGAGGACACACAGTGACAACAGGGACCTCTGCGTGGAGGCTCCTTAACGCCTCTCAACTGCAGGCTCCAGATCTTCACCACCTTCTGCTTTCTAAGATGCCACCAAATGGCAGCTTGGGGCTCAGCCCTGGCTGCAGTGGGGCTGCAGAGCCCATGGGCACACGTGGGATGTTCCCAAAGYGGGGAGAGCCCGGAGGAGCTGCTCGGTGGCTCACCTGGGCGGCCGTGTCCATCTCCACCAGGTCAGGGATGGGCTCGCTGTCCGGGGAAGACGCCTCGGCAGGGATGACCACCACGGGGCTGATGTGCTCCGACAGAGCCGAGGCTCGCAGGAAGTTGGGGGGGTTCTGGGGAGGCAGGAGCGCGAGGTGACGCGGTGCCGGACCCGCTGCTCCGCACGGCGTCACACACGGCCGCCTGAACCCAGCCCTGCGGCCACCGGGTCCCGGCAGAGCTGCGGTCCGTGTGGTGGCAGCCGGGCTCTGCTCTGCGTTTGCTCAACAAAACAGGTCTCAAACCCGCCAGATGCCGCCGCGAGGGGCAGCTCTGCGGCATCTCTGGCTGCAGGAGGCAGAGCTGGGCTGGACACGGGGCCGCAGGCTCCCTGCAGGAGCTGAGCACGACGGTCGCGGTTCGGGATATCACCGTGACCGAAGCTGCAGGCAGGACGGTGGATGCCAGAGCAGCATCTCCATGCGGAAGGGCCAGGCCCAGGGAGGCCTGCAGGGATGAACCCCGGGCCACGCTCTGCCATTCTCAAGAGCTGGATGAACACCCCGGGAAGCAGGGCAGGGCAAGGGGAGCAGGCCGGCCCCTGCAAGCCCCRGTCATGGGGGCCATCCGTGCGGCTCTCACCTCTGGAAGCTGCGGGATCTGAATGAGCCGCTTGAAGTACTGCAGGTTGCTGGAGCGATAGAACAGGTCCTTGAGCCTGAAAGGAGAAGGACGGAGGTTGGCGAGGGAGGCACTCCACATGCCCCACTTGCTCAGGAACCCCCTCGGGGGCAGCTCCACAGGCCACCTCCAGCCTCCTCCCAGCGCAGAGGGAGCAACCTCCCCTTGCTGCTGTGCTGGAGGGGACGGTGCCCTGAGCTGCCGTGAAACCCGCAGCAAGGGCTGGGGAGGCCCCTCGAACCCCAGCCTCCCACCTCCTGCTCCATGTGAGAAGCAAAYACCCAGAGACATTGAACCCCCGAGGCCTAAACCCCCATAAAGGAAGTGATACGAAAAAGAGAGAGAAAAASCCCAAACTGAGAAGCACCCCAGAGCTCCAGCCACCTCTCTGTCCTCTCCCTGAAGTGGCCAAACTTGCACACTTGAGGGCACAACAGAAAAACAGCTCCCGGGGCCAGCAGGGCAGAGCTTCCAGYTGGGAGCTGCATCTCCAGCACCAGGTTTAATTCTGTGCGTGGACATCTCTCCCCTGAGTGGGCCTACCTGCTTCCCATTTTGGCATCGAGAGCATCCTGTGCCAAAATGTGCTCTCCACCGTTCATTTTAAGCTGCTGGATCATTTCCTYCAGCACCTTGGCTTTTGTACAACGAGAAGAGCATCTCTTGGATGCTCCTGCTCTTGCCACCCCYGCGGGCTGGGGGGGCCTCCAGGGGGAGGCCCCCTGGTCCTCCGTCCCATCCCGGCCATCCTGGCTTGCTGTGCGGATGCCACCGAGCTCTGGAGACGCAGCACCCCTGTCCCAGGCTGCCAGAGCAGCGCTTAGGTGGGTGCTGACATGGTCCCTGGCGCTCTGCCCGGGGCGGGGGCTCTGCTTTGCGGGGTGTCACCTTGGCCTGAGCTGCCCCGGAGCCGCTGGGTGCTGAGACGCCCGCCCACTGTTCCCTGTGCCCTTTCTCATTTCGACTGACCTAAAAAATACTGTACTGGAGGCCGTGGGGTTTCGCTGCCCTCTCTCTTTTCCTCTCAYTTAGAGAAGCACTGAACACCACCAGCTCCAGCACAGGGATGCCCCGAGAAACTCAGGGAACCATTTGTACTGAAGCCCAACATTTTGTCTCCTGTCTTTTGAGCAGTAACTACTCGGAGAGAGATCYGCCCTCATGTGCCAGGGCAGCTTAATTTCTTTTGGAAACAACCTCTTTCGCTGTATCATCTGTATYGCTCTGCTCATGCTTACAGATTCCCCCAGACTCTAATAAATCCTGCCTCACAAGTTGGCCATACAGCAATGTGCACCCCAGCCCATTCTATCACCTGGTGCCCCCACGGTACCAAGCACCAGGTGCCTTCGTGCCCCTCTTCTCTCCCCAGAGCACTTTGTAAAGAATAATGTAATTTCAAACATTTTACAGTCCTCAGGCATGAAAACCCAGGCAATTTTCCAGCAACACGGTACAGCCACTCTCTGATGCATGAGCTTCTGGATACCTGCATGGTTATGCTTATCTGCTCCTACCCCATTTCCTCTGTTTCTTTTAAAATCTATGCTCTTGATTCTTCAATTTGGGATAGCTCCGCAGACACGTGGACCCTGGCTGCAGATCAAGGGGTCCTGCTGCCCTGAGGCCCTTCAGGTTTTCTGCTCCTCAGTTGTCTCCCCTTGAAGAGCTGTGACTCCCCAGCCCTGGTGTGAGTGGAAGGGCCGTGCACAGCCTGTGCTTGCAGCCAGGCTCCTGGATCTCATTGTGAGTTCCCTTAGTACCATTCGGGATTATTCATGCCAGGCTCCTTGTTCAGGACGGCTTTTTGCTGCTCCTGCTCTGCTGCCCCGACACACYGCCTCTCTTCTAGCACACTTGCAAGGTGCATGTAACTCTCCATGTTACACTGTCCCCATGAAACCTCCTTGTAGCAGCCTTTCCAACTGTGTCACTACTCAAGGGACAACAACGCTCGAAAAAAAGCAGGATTCAGGTCTTTTCTGCGTGCTCCTGCCCTCCTCGAAAGCCCAGCTGGGTTTCTGCCCTCAGTGTTCTCCCCTGCGACGTGACCAGCCCTCCCCACTCGGCGTCCCAGCCCCTGTCAAACACACGTTTTCTCAACGCGGCCAAGCTCCGTGCTGACCAGATCAAACACTCCCAGCAAAGGCAGGAAGGGCAGGACTGAATCCCCAGCATTCCCCGAGAGCCTTTCATCTCAGCATGCCAAGTGCACATTGTACTTAAAACTGCAATTAAACGGCTGAGGATTTCAAATCATCAGCTAGCATTTTATATCAAAGGCCATTAGCGGCTGAGGGCCTCTTTAGAATTAATAACACAGTTATCTAGTAATTCAATAGCTGTGGATTAGCGAAACAGAGTGGGTGTCCTGGAGGAAGCAGCCGCCCTGCTCCAGCGGAGCCGTTCCCAAGCAGAGGCAGAGAGGTCAGACTGCGCTCGGCTTCTCAGCCCCAAGCCCAAATTCTGCACGCCATCCGCCTCCATCGTTTGGCTGCTTCACCGGTTGCAAAGGGCCCTGGAGGGCCAGGGCCTGCAGGTGGCTCCCGCGGAGCTCGGAGCGGTGCACGGGGCTCCTCTCGACCCCAGCTCTGAGAGCGGGAGCCAGCACTCACCAGCCAGGCACTTACTTTCTGAACTGCTCCAGGAAACGGTCCCTGTGGCCCTGCAGCGTATCAGCTGGGAGACCTGCAAGACAAAGGAAACGTCAACCTCACCTCTCCAGGGACACGCAYGGGTCGGGATGGATCCGCCAGGCCATAAAGGATGGCGCTCCCCAGGGAGAGGGTCCTCTCCCGGGAGTTTGAATGCTCCAGGCTCAGCCTCCTGCTGCAGGATGGGCTACAGGGTTGGATCTAATTCCCTGAGATGCTCTCAGGACCCTGCAGGGGATGTTTTTCTGGAGCAGAAGATCAGGGGTGAGCAGGGCTGTGAGCTGCCATCCGGCTGCTGCCTCCGCAGGGCTTCTTGGTCCACRCAACGTGCCGTTAGTGCAACCTCTCCAAAGCCAGTGACTGCAAGGCTGCACCTGTGAGTCCACACCGCGAGGGCAACATGAAGAAACTTACGGGCTCTGAGAGCACTGGGTGGTGCCAGCAGCTGGATTCCCCTACCCTACGGGTGCTGGGGTTTCAGGGGCTCCTCACATGCAGCAACCCCATGGCCAAAGGGTGTACGGCAGTGCAGGAGCCCTGCGGCATGTACAAAGCTAACGTGGGATGGAGAGCACCCATGACCGTGGCACAAGGGAGGAAGAGAGGTCTGCCCTGTTCTTTTCCATCATCTGTGCATCCTTGGCCAGTGCAGAGAGCTCTGGTGGCTCTGGTGGCRCTGTGGTGGGGCTCGGACATGACAGAGATGTGCTCTCCTGACACGTGCAGAGGTCCAGCCCAGCCAGGCCTCCTGTCACAGGAGCTCCAAACCCTTTGGCTCATGTCACCAAGCGCTGGGGGCCCCAGCACTGCAGAGAAAGGAGGTTCACCAGGATATGCGCAACCCACACAGCATCCACCTTCCTGGGGAGCTGCACCAGGAATCACCCGTGGTGCAGCACAGCTGGTGACAAACCAGAGCGGTGGCAGCCCCGCGGCTACTTACAGGAGTGGAGTTTGAAAAGGAGCTTGACAGTGTAGTCGTAGAGGTGGCTGCAGTCCAGTATGACCTGGATGAGCGGGGCCAGGCGGCACTGGCCTGCAGCAGTGACCGACACGGAGCGCGACATGTCCAGCGAGTTGAACACTATGGGAAAAGAAAAGAGGGGAGATGGGGCTCAGGCCTCGTGGGAACTGGCCTCCCRGTGTGGACGGTCACGGCGCATTTCATGGTTTCTGCATGGGAGTTCACACCACCAGGCAGGTGCCTCTGACCTAATGCTCTAAATCTTAGATTTGGGGGAAAACTACAGTCAGTTTTCCTAAAGTCTCTAAGGTCCATTCCCTCCAGACCAGAGGTCCAAAGCGGGCCAGCTGCATTAGGCCACCACGAGCTGGAGCGAGCGACCTGCTGGCCCTTGGGGCTGGGGCGCAGCCCCTTGCTCCCTGCTCGTCCCTTGCAAGCTCGGCAGCAGGGCCCATTCCCGGCTACTTTCCCAGGACAGCCATGCAGGCATGGGGCCGCTCTTGCTTCACGCTGGGGCTGTTCTCAAGGCCTCAGCACACATCCCAGGAGCAGCATGGCTGTGCTGGGTGCACATGCACCCGGGCACCCTTCTGCAGTGTGTGCAGGCCCTGCAGCCCTTCCGCTCAGCCCTGCCATTCCCGCGGGAGGCAGCTCCTGCAGTCGGGTCAGCCCCAYGCCGCCTGGGCTGGCACCTCGGGGTCTCTCCACTCGCACAGGGTGAACGGACCGGGCTGCCCTGCACCAGCCTCCTGAGCCCCGGTGAGGCCCTGGCCCCAGCAGCCCCCAGTGTCCTCCGGGTTCCTGCAGGTTTCTAGTCCCAAGGAGCCGGTCGGAGGCCCGGCCAGGTCCCTGGAGYGCCAGCTCTCCCGAGCTGCACGGGCCCCTCCACCCTCTCTGCCTCCCCGTGCACGGCCCTGGGCTTCACGTGAGCACAGATCATGCAGCCCAGCCCCGGCACCAACTGCTCATCCCGGCTATTCCCCAGCTGCACAAGCGTCCCGGGCTCCCGCCGGGCGCCCAGGGCTGTGAGCACAGGCAGCCGGGAGCAGGCCGAGACCCGCAGTGCCCAGGGGGAAGGGATGCCGGCTCATGTCCGAGACGCTCCGCAGCGAGGAGGGAGCGTGGAGGCGGCGCTAAGACACCCACGGGCAGCTTGCAGGGCTCCTACCGCACCCCTAGGCCACGCGAGGCAGGTTTTGCATCCCAGCCAAGTTTGGGGTGTCATAAAGCGTATGCCAAGTCATTCTTCCTAAGCAAGTGAGTCTCCTTGTGACCTGAAGTATTTACACAAGGCACAAACACAGCTGGTCCCAAACGGTTTAGTGAGGAAAGGGACCACAGGCCGTTTCAGCGGGGCCTCCTGGGAGACCGGCAGGAGCAGGAGGCTGCAGTAAGGGCCTGACCCAGAGCCCCATCCTGCAGCTCCTGCCTGCGAAAGCAGCCTCTGAAGAGGCCTCCTGTGCGGGCAGCAGCACGGGCAGGAGGCCCAAGCAGCCTCGCATGGGCAGGAGGCCCAAGCAGCCTCGCAAAGCAACCGGGCAGGAGGGCAGTCCTGGCACCAGCGCCGCGCGGCCGGGACCAGCCCTTCAGCACCAGCCCCACTGAGCAGTCCCGCTTCTCTGCAAGCCGGGACACGAGGGCATGGATCCAGCTCCAATAAAACACATCCCGCTACTACAGGGCACACAAATTCATGCTCTTGCCTCCGATAAAAGGAACCTCTATGCCACAACACGTTTCCACTTGTGCTTCAAGGCTATCACATGCCTCTAATGCACTGYAGTGCCAGCACTCGAGGCCTTGTAAACAAGGAAACGCTGGATCGCTCTGGTATTGCTTTAATTCACCCCAAATGCACCTTGCTGCTGCAAACAGAAGTGCATGGCTCCCGAGAGCTGAGAATTGCTTTCTGCTTCATCGAAGCCTCTGCAGACACGACGAAGACAGCGCGGTCCTCCCACCGCTACYGGGGCTGCCGTAACGCACCAGGGCAGCACAAGCCCTCTGTTAACACAACCAGAAGGTGTCAGAAGCCCACAAGCAAGCAGAGAAGAAACCGGGCCCCGGGAGAGCGCTGAACGGGCACGGGGAAGTGAGAGCGGAGGAGCTGGGGAGGAAAAGCCGGGCGCCCACGATGCTGAAGGCTGCTGCGGGAGGCACGAGCCAGGCGCAATTCTCTGACATGAAATAACGGGCGCTAATAATAACTCTGGTGAAGTGCATGAAAAACAGATGAGCTCAGACGCCCTCAGACAACTCCCTTCCTGGGGCGGGCGACTCGGCGTTGCGCACAGATTGAGCCCGGCTGCCCGGCGGAGGCTGCTCGGCCTCCTCTGCCGCGGCGCCCCGGCCCCCAGCCACAAGTCACCTACCCGTCTGGAAGAGGTTCAGCTCGCACTCGAGATAGTCAAACATCTCCACCGTCAGCTGGAAACTAGAATGGAGGGAATAAGAAGGTTAGAGCACCTGTGTGGCCCCGCGCAGCTTCATCTCCGGGCAGGTGTCACCCCAGAGGGACCCGCAGGCCGTGCAGGGCAGAGCCCACCCTGCCGCGTGCAGGGTGGAAGTGGGGAAGGGTCCCGGACAGGCCCCGCGAGGCCTGCAGCGCCACTGCAGCTGACACCCAGCTGCCTCCCTCCCCTCCTGCCCCGCGGGCCTGCCCCGCTTCTCCTGCCCAGGACTCACAAGTTATTGACGTCGTTCTCGCCGGCCTCGTCGAGCTGCCGGTCGGACATCTGGAGGTTGCCAGGGAACCTGGGATTCTGCCCAAGGGAACGGAGAAGGAGTCATGGAAAGGGCTGTTGAGGACTTYCCAGTGTGGCCACAGCTCTGCCGATGCTGCCAGGCCATGAGGGCCAGGACTGGGTGCAAGGGACCTGGGGTGGCTCTTAGAATGTTCCCACGAAGCCCTGTGGGGCTCCCAAGTGCTGCACGTTGGACTGCTCAGCTGCGGGAACGCTGCCTCTCTCTAGCCAGGCCCTGCAAAGGCTCTGGCGGCAGCCTAAAACCTCATGGTCCATCCCCACGTCCTCTGCACCCACCGGGCCAAAGCGAGCTGTCGGCTTCCTCAGAGCTGGCCACGACGGGGACGAACCTGCATCCCTGCAGACTCCAGCCCGTTGGCGGGGCAAGCAGCACGAGGGGCAGTGGGTGCTGCGTGGGGCCAACCCCACACACTGGCCCTGCAGCACGGGCAGCGCCAGCCCTAACCCACTGCCTCGCCACGAGGAGCAGCAAAGCCCTCCAGGGAGCCTCTCGCCCGGGCAGGGGCTGGAACCTGCAGCTACTGGGGAAAAGCCCACGGCCTTCGGGGAAACGAGGCTGGAGCCTCTGCCATCTGCTCTGTCTAGTGAGGGCTGATCTCCTTGGGTTCAAAGGCTTTCAGAAGCCAGGCCCACACTGTGGGGCACGGGTCTGGCTTCAGAAAGTGCCTCTGAAGGAAGAAATGTTTGTAATAACCATCAGGTGTCCTGGAAGAGAAAATCCAGGTGGGAAGCGTGCCGGTGCAGGCGCTGGGGAGCACAGGGTGCAGCCCCGTGTGGCCCCACGGGCTGTCCTGGTGGAGCTACGGCTCCAGAGCCCTGCTTGGCTGCTGCCAAAGCCTGGCTTTGCAGCACGTTTGTGTTTGAGCCGAGCTCGAAAGAAAGAAACCCCCCCAGGTACCCAATCTGCTGCCGCCAATTATTGTAAGGATGAGGGCACTTGAAGCCATGCAGGGCAGGGTTGGAAAGGCCCCCAATGGCTTTTCATGCTGCTCCTGGAGGCGAGCCTTCATTTTCCTGCCGCAGGCCTAAGAAAGCGGCTGCCTCGCTAACTCCGCGTGGAGGGAGCGCTGCRCCCAGCGCGCGGGGCACATCCCGCTGCTCCGCACGACGCGGAGCACGCGGCCGACGCCGGGCTGGCACCGCAGACCCGCAGCCTGCCACGTCTCCGGCCGCGTCCCCTCCAGACGCCCTCCAAACAAGGAGCCTGCACAGCAGCGCTGGTCTGCACAGTCAAAACAAGGTCCTGACGCCAGCAGAGGGATGGAGGTTAAAAAAATCTGGCTCTCCTCTGGCTTCAAGTGCTCAGAAGCTCCTTTGGCCCAGGAGCCCAAAGGCCAGAGAGGAAAAAAATAGGGATTTCAAGTGACAGACATTGGTAATTTCATCCTCAGGCCCCAACCTAGGGGCATGGCTGGGTAGGACAGGATGGGACACGAGGCTGTGGCGCTGCCTAGGCCCAGGGCCCGGGGCGGCCGCTCTCCCAAACGCTGCAGAGAGCAGAGTCCCCCTCGCAGGCTGCGCTGAGGGCCGCGCATSCTGAGCAGTGTTTGCAGAGAGGCGCCGCACGCGCGGCCACCACGTGCTCTTTACCCCGAAYGGAGCCCGCGGTGGGCGGCAGGCGGGGGACGCGGCGGCTCCGGTGACGGGGCCTTCCCTCAGCTTCCACGCTGCTCCTGGCCACGGAGGGATGGAGCAGCTGGCATGGGGGGCAGATAACGCGGGGGCAGCCCCGGCATCACGAAGGCGGAGGCAGCTGTGGGCTGAGCAGGCTTGTTCTGTGCCACCTCATCTCGGTTTTCTGGTTCGACTCAGGCTGTGCTGACTCAGACAACCCTCCTTTGCTCGTACACCAGTCGGAGCTGGCGCCTTCCTGCTCATCCATCTCTGTGCATGAACGGGGCTGCCCTTCCAGCCTCAACCTGCAGCTTCCCGGCCTGCCTTCAAAGTGTGATGGAGGAGCTGGGCTCTTCAGGGGATTCTTCCTTCAGCACTAGCTGCTGCCYTGACGAGTCCACAGCTGAGGACTCCAGCAGCCTGGCAGAGACCCAGCAGACCGGGGATGCAGCCCCAACGCTGCTTCTGCTCCCGCCAGCCTCCTGCTCAAACAGCTTTTTTGCAGCGTCCCCAGTTCCAGAGCAAAGACCTAAGCACGTCCAAGGAACCAACGTGTCCAAACACACCATGAACCATCCCCAGGGCTTTGCTCCTCGGGTCACTTTAGCTGCAGGGGAAGGACAGAGACGCTCGCAGTTTGTGTCACTGTGTCACAGCAGCAGCATGAGGCCTGCGACGGAGGGAAGGACACGCTGGGGTAAGGGGAGGACTGCATCGCTCAGGGTGCTCTGCCAGGCGCTGTCCTGCTCGGCTGCATTTTCACTGCTTTCTGCCCCTGCACACCCAAAACGTAACCTCTCGGGGTGGCCCTTGAGCTGGGCCCAGCTTTAAGAGCAGGACTAAGCCCTGGAGCCCACTCGCAGCATCAGCCCTCCAGCACACAGGCTCGCCACCGCTCTCAGGGCTGGTTCATGCAGTGTCCACACTGCGTCCAGCGAGGAGCTGCTGATCCCAGACGTGGCCCCCGACGCTGGGCTGGGCTCGGCAGGCACAGGGACGTGGGCAGGACACAGCAGGACAGAGGACACTCACTTTTGTGTGGAACTCCATCTTCGTTCTCAGCAGTTTGAGGTAGATGCTGCACAGCTGTCCGTAGCCCTCGCTCAGGTGACCCTGGGGACACAACAGGGCCGTTCAGACGAGGCGAGGCCCAAGAAGCCTCCCCACTGCTGTGACTGAGACTCCTTCGGACTCCTGCGCAGCACGCCTGCCCACCCACGCTCTCCTCCCCGCGCCAGCCCAACCTTCCCAGGACGCCTGAACCTCCTTTACTGTCTGCACCACCACTACCTGCCACCTTCCCAAGCCTCTTATCTTCCCACAGCACAAGCCAAGGCTCCTCATTGGCACCCTGCTGCCTGGCACACACAGCAAGAATCGCCTTGTCCTTCCTGCCACCGCGTGAGCCGGGTACCACCACACACAGGCTGTGGCTACCAGAGGGCACTGGCTGGGGTTGGCATATGTCTTGGCAGCAAATGTGCCAAGAGCTTTATACAGAACCTGGAGAAGGGGAGAATCCCAGTGGGACAACTTGGTCATGCCTCTCAAGACATTTTTTGTGGTCATGATGTGTCCCAACTGCTTCCACCAAGATATGCAAGATGTCCAGCTGAACAACCAAAGCAAAGGTGCCAGGACACTCATAGAGGCCCAGGAGGGCCCCTCATCTGACGCCTGGGACCTTGTTCTCATGCAAGGTTGTGCTGGGCTCTGTCAGGCACCCGCGGAGCTGCTAAGAGCCAGAGCTCTCCCATTTTGCTGGGAACGCATCTAGTGAGCCCAGAGGAAGAGCCAGGTTCTGCACTTCCCACACCAAGGGCTGGCTGCGCTCCTGGCACTCGCACTGACGGACGAGCTCAAGACCCAGGAGACAGTGTACGGGCAGCAGCAAAGGCAGCAGGACAGCTAAAGGTCTCGTGTCCAGGGTTTGCAAGTACTGTGGAATTCTCATGATTGGAAAAATGACATTTTGGGGGTCTGCAAACCCTCCAGGAAACCTTTTTCCATGTTAACTCCAGCAGTGCAGAGGAGCCTGCGGCTCTGACGCTCCTGCGCTGCCCTCAAAGCTTGAGGCCGCTTCGGTAGCTCCGTGCAGCCTCCCGCTGCCCAGGCTGTCCCGCCGGCGGCGCTGGGGGATGTTCCAGGCCTCCCGGGACACGGGTCCCATCCAGCCCTCCCGGCAGCCGCTGCCCCACGCCGCTCAGGCCGCCTCTCCGCGCTCTGGGGCGATCCCTGCCTCCTTGTGCCCTTCCCTCCTCCTCCTCCTCCCCGGGGACATCCCCTCCTCCCCGCCCCACACAAGTCCCTTCCTCCCCGCTGCCCACCCTCCAGCTCTGCCTCCTGGCCGCTTCTTGGCAGCCTGCCTCACCCTGGCTTTCCTTGCTCTCCCTTCCACCCCATTTAACCCAGCGTAGCTGGAAAGAGGTCACTCGCGTGACTAGGAGTAGTCCTGGCTCTGAACCCTCCCTCTCATTCACCCCTCTTCGCAGCAAGGCACAGCAAACCGAACAGAGCTGGCATTTCTAGGCCAAGCCGCCCTCGGGAGCCGGCGATCGCAGCCAGAAGCAGCCCAGAGAGATCTGAAGGCTCCCGATACCCACCCAGCGCTCAGCGTTTCGGGGTAAGAAGAGAATCAGGCCAGTAAGGCAGAGTCAGTGACAGTTGCTCTGCGCTATGGGTCTGTGTGAGTGGGGCGAGAGCCTGGGGGCAGCCGTGGGGCTGGGGGGCAGCCGCGGGGCCGGGAGCAGCCAGCACCATCTCGCCATCACTCACCCACATCCTGCTCATGTCACTCAGCTCGTTCTTGTACCTCACCGAGTCTTTTAGGACCTGCAAAGAGAACCGAGGGGAACATAGCGGCAGGAGAGGGCAGTGCCCGCGGGCGGCCCCGCCGCTGCCAGSCCCACGCGCCGGCGACAACGCAGACATCACTGAGCCACAGGCAGGCCAGGGAATGGGGCTCCTGGAGGCCTTCCCAGCACTGCAGAGACCTTGCGCTCTCATCACATGCCAGCGCCAGCCCCAGGGTGCCGCAGGGCCCCCATCCCTCCCGAAGGATGGAGAATCCTTTCCAGSCTCGTATCCGCAGTGTCACCTGGGCAGGGCGCTGCCCTCCGTCCCCATGCCCGGGGACGCGCTGGCTCTGCRCTGGGGAGCTGCTCTACGCGGCCCAGCTCAGGGAATTTCAAGGGGTTGTCCTCAGCAAGGGCTTTTCACAGAATCACAGAGCTTTTCTGAGCTGTGAAGGGCTTGAGGTTCTCCAGGTAAAAGGGAGGAGGTGGAGGAGGACTGGAACCAAAGTGCGTGCAGGTAATGGAGGCAACAGGAGACGGGTGGTAGGGCTGGGGACAGGGTGGCTCTACCAGGCTGTGGGGACACGTCAGGGCATGGGGACACGTCAGGATGTGGGGACACGTCAGGGCCTGTCGTGCTCTCCAGCACCCAAAACGCAGGGCACGGGGCGCGAGTTTGAGGGGCCGTGATGGGCACGGGGCCTTCTCGAGAGCGCTCGGGGCAGCACCTACGTTGGAGTGGCCRTCTCGGAGGAGCTTGTGGAAGACGTGGCAGAACTTCCAGCAGAGCACAGCATTGCCGGAGAGCGGGAGGCGGTTCACGACGGACCAGAAGGTGTGCGCCCCCTTCTCGTGGTGCGTGCCCAGGATGCATGGTGCGAGGCTGGTCAAGGAAGCAGCCGCTGCCGACTCCGCGGGCCCTCCCCAAGCAGCAGGCAGGCTGGCTGCCCCTCAGCACCCCTGCAAACCCCGCGGCACATGGGCACCTCTGCCCTGGAAAACAAGGGGTCTCGCCAAGCATCYGTGTCCGTGACAAGGGCTGAAGGGGAAACAGCTCCTGCACGGGGCGGAAAAGCACAGCCGGGTGCCAAGGCCCTGCCGCGCTGCAGGAACGCACCGTCCTTTCCCAGCGAGGCCCGGGAGAGCCAAAGAGCGCCGGGACCGCACGGGAGCGGAGAGGCTGCCAGGCCCGGGCGCCAGCGCGGGCACACGCTGCAGCCTAGCCGCACGGGCGCTCCTGCGCCTGGCACCGCGGCTGCGGCCCCGGCTGCCAGGAGAGCCGGGGACCACAAATMCCCCGGGGATTTAAGTGCTGTAGGTCCCGGCTAGACATTCTCTGCCACCACTGCTCCCATGGGAGCGGCAGGGGCACAAGGCTGGCTCCCAGCCCACCAAAAAGCCAAGCTTGGAGCAGGAGGGAGGGAAAGGGGAGTGGAAGGGGAGAGGGGAAGGCCTGGCCACCACCAGAGACCCTGCGGGGTGTGGGACCCGGCTCGTCCCGACGCTCCGCGCAGCTGCTCCCAACGCGCCGCGGCGCCCGGGCCCCTTTCCGGGCGGCCCCAGCCGGCTCCCACGCTCGCTTGTCCCGCGGCCAGCGCTCGGAAGGATATTTCTGGCGTGTTTCTCCTTGACAGCCACTTCCTGCGTATTAATGGCCTTATTGATGCTGACAGTCTGAAAAACAGAAGCGGGGAGGGGGTGAGGAAGGGGCTGGGGCTCCCGGTCCCGCCGCGCGGCACCTGCCGGGGCCTGGGTCCCATCCAGGCCCCCGGCCCTCCCAGCCGCCGCGGCGGCTGCCAGCTGGACTCCGCTCATTCCCGGATGCCTCTCTGGGATGTGTCCGGCATCTGCCAGGTCCAGCTGCTGCCAGGGCTCATTTACTCGGCATAATAACGGAGCAATTGAAGCGGCCACCACAAAGGGCTCCGTGGTGCCCGCGGGGGCCGGGCGGACCCTGCTGCTGACCCTGTCTCGCGGGCGGCAGCCAGCGGCCCCTGCTCTGCACCCGCGCGGGGCTGCACGGAGCGGCGCCGCAGGGCCCCGTGGGGACAGGCCAGTGTCTGGYGGAGCGAGGACAGGGCCGGCCGCGCCGCGGGCAGCCGGGGCAGTTTCGCCTCCGCCCGCGGCTCCCGGTGCCGCTCCGGCTGTGCCCGGCCCTGCTGCCGGYGCCGCTCGCGCTCCCGCGGCTGCGCGAGGAGGTCCGCGGGCAGCCCTTGCCCTGCCCGCCCGGCCGCAGCCACCCTGCCCCTTGCCAGGAAGGGCACGTTTCGCAACGCAGATGTTGCAGCCCTCGCAGCGCAGCGCGGGTAAATGCGGAGCGGGAGAAGCCACTGCACACGGCCTCGGCCTGCACAGAGGCGCTGGGCAGTTCTCCTTGCGGGGCTTTGAGGGTTCTCCTTGACCCCATCCGCTTCCCCAAGCGCACGGCCGGCTGGGAGGCCATGGGAGGCCGGGTGATGCACGAGCCCTTGCAGCCGCGCGAGCTGCCGCGAGCCAGGGCAACCTGCGGCTGCGGGAGGCTGGGACACGAGCCCGTGAAAGCAGCGGGATTAATCCCCTGCCTTATCCATGGCCAGGCTCCTGTGTCTCCCCTAATCTCCAAGACGGCCCTGCTGCTGCTTCATCCCAACAGATGGTGGAGAGGAAGGCAGGAAGCTTCAAGCACGGCCGATGCCGTGCGGGAATGAGGGCAGGACATGGGGCACTGGCTGCACCCCCAGCAAACACAGCGCTGAGTAGGACGCATGTCCCAGCTCCCTGGAAAGGACCCTCTGCCCCCAAGGACTCACTACTCGGACTGGGAAAGTGCAGAAAAGCTGAGGCAGCTTCAGTTCTACCCACAGCCACCAACAACAAGCCTGAGAGGCAACTGAGCATCCCCTCGAAGGCTTCCAGGTCTGGTTTCTCAGCACCCCAGGACACCCAGCCCCGCTCTGCGTGCYGGGAAACGCGCCTGCCCGCTCCAGCGGCACGGGGCGCCCCGGAGCACGGCTCTCCGGGCAGCTGCTCCACGCTCCGTGTAGGCCCCATCCACGCAGCGCGTGGGGAGGGCGGCGCGTGATGTGCCCAGTGTGCCGAGCGGCTCCCGTGCCCGCCCTGTGCCCGGGCGGCCGATCCCGCCATCGCGGCTCCGCTCCAGGGTGGGACCCACCCTGCGCAGGGGGCTCCGCTGAGCGTGGCTGGGGATTGGGAACAGAGGTGGGATGAGCTGCTGGGAGGCAGCACAGCCTGGCCAGGCGTGGATGGAGACCAGACCTGCCGCTGGGCCAGGCCCTGCGGGAGCGGCAGACCCGGCAGTGGGGAAGCAGCGGGCTCCGTGCGGAGCAGCCGGGCTCTCCGGCTGGGGGAAGCCCAGCGGGCTCTGCAGGCAGCGCGGCTAAGGGCGGGAGCCACCGCTGCAGCCCTGCCCTTCCCCCGTGCACCACGGCTTGTTATTTGTGCTAAAAAGAGGGGGRAAAAAAGAATTTCAGCATTATGCTCATTTTCGTCTTACAAAGGCCAAAGAAGCAGAAAACACTCAGAACGGAGGGGTTTCCGCGGCAGCAGCTGCCCCTGTGGGCGACGCGCGGTGGGCAGCGGGCTCCCCGCAGACTCGCGCCGCCCYGCATCTCCGAACCGCGCTCAGGATGGTGCCGCTGCCCCTGCGAGGAGCCGTTTCCCTCCGCTTCCCTGGCCGGGAATCTCTCTCTGGCAGGAGCTGCTCCCGGCCCAGGGAGCTGGGCGCTTCTCCAGGGGGTTTTGTGCCAGCTCAGCCAGCCGGACCTGCTCCCGCAGCAGGGGAGGACGGGGACTCTGTGGAATGACCGGAGCGGCACAGCCATCCCAGGGGCTGCACTCCCACATCCCAGCCCGAGTGAGCTCCGCGCCCCCTTCCCTGACACTGGGACAGCTCGGGAGAGCCACGAGGTCACCRGGGCAGCGGGACACCCCGGCTGTGGCATTGCTGCTGCAGGGCGGCAGGGACGGGCAGGGCTCGGTGCAGCAGCAGCGCGTGGCGCCTGCAAGGAGGGAGCTCCTGCGCTGACAACCACGTGCCCGGCAGGGCTTCAACGTCACATTTTCCTCCAAGTAACCTCAAAGAGAGCAGGGGATAGAGAAAGAGGAAAGCCAGGGAAGCTCCACACTCGGCGGGGAGCTAAGGACGAAGAGGGATCCTGCGGGTGACGTGTCGGGGCTTGCAGGCAGCTCCCGCTGCGGCACCTTCCCGCTCCCGCCACGGCGCTGGGGCTGCACGGTCCGAAGGCTCGGGAGCGGAGCGGCCGCCAACAAAGCAGGATTAGTGTGGGCGGTGGTGCTCACAGCACTCGGAGTGGCAGCACCGCGTGGAGCCGCCCCGGGTCCTGCCGTCCCCCTCATGGAGCTGGCCCGACCGGACAGCAGCAGTGCCAGGCAGGAGGCTGCAGCCCCCGTGCCCAGGGGCTCCCCGCAGCTGCCAGGCGCCCGACAGGGCTGCGCTGGGAGTCTCCTGCCGCGGTGGCTCCCACTCCCGCGCGGCCGCTGGGCGCGAGCGCCGTCCCGCTGCCCTCGCCACAACCCGCTCGCCCAGCCCAGCAGCCCCCGCGGGGGAAGCGGCAGCACTCGCTGCCTCCGGCTTGTCCRAGCTCTGCTCCCAGGGGAGGAAAACCCGGAGCCTGCGCAGCGATTCCCTGCGYGAGCGCCGGGCAGTGCCCAGCCCGCTCCCCCAGCGTGAGGCGGCGTTCGCCCTTCCCTGCAGATCTGGGCACGGAGCCCCCGAGCTCCTCCGCACTGCAGGGCACGACCTGCCAGGGAGGCGGCTGCTTCCCACAGGATCCACGCTCTGCACTGCCAGCCTGCCGTGGCGCAGAGAACAGCTCAGCTCAGCGCAGGGGCCTTCCTGCCTCCCCTCTCTGAAAGGAAGCGAGTGTTGACTAAGAGACCAGCACGATTGCACGTTATTCGGAGAAACCAAGCGAGCTGCAGCTCAAATCCTCTTCATGCCGCTCCTCATTTCCCTGAACGTCTTTCTGCAAGTGGCCGTTGGGGCCGCACGCTCTGCGCAGCCCCGCGCGGACACGGGGCGGCGGCGAGCGCGGCCCGAGCGCCGCAGAGCTCCGGGAAGGAGCCCCTCAGAGCAACTCGCTGCAGTGTAAACCCCGGGGCAGCCGCTGCGGGCCGGGGAGGACGGGGGGCTCCACAGCYGCCTCCAGCAGCGCGTGATGGCGCTGCGTCCTGGGGGGCTCCTGGAGGGCTCCGTGGGCGCTCACCGGCCCCCAGCAGCAGCCCCACGAAGGCAGCAGCCGCCCGGCCTGCCCGCACAAGGGAAATGCAGCTGGGGAGGCTCCACGGCCAGGCACACCGTAGCAGGCTCACGGCGTGCATGCACACACATACGTGTGAGTTAAGAGGACACCCAGCACGACTGCAGAGCTCGCAGTCTTCCAACTCAGCCCCACGTTCCATTAGGCCGGGGAGACAGAAAAAGCGCTTCCCTGTCGTTCCCCTGCACCTCGGGGCTGCCCACAGCCACATGGCTCAACTCAGAAATGCAGCRCTCCTCGAGCTTGAGGCGCCCTGGCCACCTTTGTAAGGGGGTTGTYGCTGCCCTAGCCTCCTGCTCCAGCCTGGAGAGAATCCCTGTAATTGCACAAGCCTCAGCATTTGTCCTTGCTTGGGCTGCAAGACAAACACATTTCCCTCAAAGCAACAGTTGCCTCAGTCTCTGGACACCCGAGTGTCTTGCTGCATCAGCCGGGCTTTGCTCACGACTGAGCAGGCTGGAGACGACACCTCGTGAAAACGTTTCTCCAGGAGAGCAGAGCTTGCGCAGGACCCGCTCCCGGCAGGGCTGCGTGCCAGGCAAACCCTCCGGAGGAGCYGGAGGGCACGGGCTAGAGGAGGACAGGCAGACCAGGGAGCTCRACGGCCACATGAGCCAGAAGGAACAGGCTGCCCCGAGAGCGCATGGAGCCCCTTTCCTTGGAGAAACTCCAACGCCATCGGACACAACCCGGGGCCACGTGCTCCAGGGGACCTGCTCGAGCAGCGGGGTGGACTGGACGATCCCTGCAGGTCCCTTCAACCTCAGCCCCTCCGTGATGCTGTGAAGATCCATCCCCACAGGGCCTGCCCCTCCGGAATCGCTGCCTGTTGCAGCAGCCAACTCGGCAGCTGGTGAGAGGAGCAGGACAAAAGATGTCTCTCCACAGCGCAGCGGARACGATCCTGAATCCTGAGGGATCCCAGGCCTCTGGGGCAGCTTCCAGTGTCAGAGCTCCTCGCTTGAGCTCCCCGCAGCAGCTGGGGTGTGCAGTGTCCCCAACACTGCCACCAGGCAGGTGACACAAAGCACACCCCGTATGATGAACCCTCTTGAGAAATGGCAGCAGAGGAGAGGACAGAAGAAAGGGCTACCTGGAGTCAGCGGATGCAAATCTTTATCCTTCCCCATGGACTTAACTACAGACAAGAGGAGAAAACCCTAGCGCGCCGCYGGGGCTGGCACCTGGATTTCCTGGCACTGCCTTTAACCCTTGCTGGAACCCAGAGCGAGGCTCCTGGCACAGACACGACTGGCAAAGGTGACAAAGAGCACCGTGGCACCTCCTGATCCTCTGGCACTTGGTACAATGTTAACAACATCGTGCTGAACCTGCCAYGGTCACAGGCTTCACCGCGAGAGGCAGCGCAGGGTCTGGGCTCTTCTAGCACTCGTGCTCGAGGAGAAACCGCTCCCGGCGCAGGAGAGCGAGGGCTGAGTTGGCCACGTGCACCGCGGGCGGACGCTGGAACGGACGCGCTCGGGCTGCAGCTGCCGCCGGCCTCGCCGTGAGCTCGGCGGCCTTCGCCCCGCGTTACCACCATTCCCTGCAGGACACAAAKCAATATC